GCCATTGAATGGACCAGCAGACAGATACCTTAGAAATGTAACGTTTTATTAGCGTTCGTCATTGGCAGTTTATAGTTTTTACTTACTCAAATTTCGCAGACAAATCAAAAATGTCTTCCCCGTTTCGTTAGCATCAATTTTCCGTGTAGCGTAAAGAATGGCAACGTATAGGGGAATTGTTAATAACATCACGATATCGAGAAGTATAGAGCAAATGAGATATAGAAGGTACATCGCTAAAGCAAAGCTAAACCAGAGCCAGAGTGACTATTTAGAATTTTTTGAAAATAGCCTTGGAATCAGCGAAAAATTCTACACTAGAAGAGGGGCTAGGTGCGAGCTTTTGACTTTGATTTTAAGTGGTTTCCCCGCGAATAATTTCAGGTTGAAACCCTAGCAACGTGCCACTTACAGGCCTATAATTTGTCTTTTCAAAAATTTCGCACATTGCATTTAACGGGGTAGGAAAGTTCAAATCATATTCTGCGCGTATTGGTGGAAAAACCAAATAATTGCTAATATTTTTTTGCTGGCATATTCCTTAACAGCTTTTCGTTTGAAACCCTGCATCGAAGAAGCGGAAGGGAGGGATTTACATTCATTTCGCCGAATTTTCATATCGCCGAATTTTTATTTCGCCGAATGTGTATTTCTTCTTAAATGTATTGCACAAAACTTCATTCGGCCGATTTTTCGTAGCCCGTTATCTAGCGCACAATAAAATATAGCTCAGCTGGCCTCTTCTTCAGGAATAGGTCGAAGCAAACATCAGTGCCGCTGTTTTCAACGAAGGTAATGTTATCTTCTTGATGCTCCGACAAAATAATATGGCAGGCGGAGCAAAATATTGTAAATTCCAAGGTCTCCAACATAGATTTTCATACGTAATTCGGCGAAATGAACATTCGGCGATATGAAAATTCGGCGATATGAAAATTCGGTGAAATGAAAATTCGGCGATATGAAAATTCGAAGGGAGGCTTTGTCGCGCGAAATCGCCACCATTGAGCTCCACCGCACCGTATCCTACTAAAAAAATAGTGTCTTTGTGTGTGTCGATTTGCATGCAACTTCCGTCTCTATGGCCGGAGGATAATAACTCAATCCTACTATATATAAAACCAATAGTGTTTGTGTGTTTGTGTGTGTGTGTGTGTGTGCCACTTTGCATCCACTTCCGTCTGTCTGTCCGGAAGATATCTCAAGAAGGGATGGGTATTGGGCTACGTATGATACGTCATTAGGTGCGTAATGGTCTAGGGATGACTGCACACATATCAGATTTTTTAAAATTAGCCATTTTCACTATTAAATTTAGGTTTTTGTAAAAACCTCTTTGTTAGGAATAATTAGCATAGACCGGAAATGGGCCGTCGCCTATATAAAGAGGCAGAAAGGGTTGTTTTTCATTTTTTTGTCTTTAGAATGGAGGACAATTATGCAAAGGGTAGAATAGTATGGGGTCCGAGACGGGGCCAGGGTTGAAAAGTCGCGAAGCGGCTTTTCAAACCTGGTAGAGGATGAATTTTGGGGTACGTATAATACATCATTAGGTGCGTAATGGCTCTGTGATGACCACACACTTCTCAGAATTATCAAAATAAGTTATTTTCGATATTAAGATTAAGTGTTTGTAAAATTTTCGGGAACCCTCTTTGTTAGGAAACAATTAGCCTAAACGGGAAGTAGACGCAGCCTATACAGGGTGCCTATAATGGCATGGAAGGAAATCTTTGCAGTTTTGTCAGCTTGATTGAGGCGGAATTATGCAAACTTTACAATTTCATTTGTCCAAACGGGACCAGGGTTGAAAAGTCGCCAAGCGGCTTTTCAACCCTGGTTATTTTTCATTTGGAAACATTAAAATAAGAATGGATGAATGTGTATAAAGGTTGAGTCCCGTCGATACATTTTGTGCGTTCGGCGTCGAGGTTCTATGCCTTTTCGGGGAATTAGACCCAACAACCTCAGAAGGTTTGAGCAAGAAGGAAATGTCAGAAACTTTATGACGAGTTACTACTGGAATCTTGCGGTCGAGATAGCAAAATGACACCGATTTTCATGTTGTTTGAGGTCGGGTCGGCAAGGTGAAGGAAGGCCAGCATTTCGCCACGAATCTGGAGGAATTCCATTGCTAAAAATTAAGGTTGCTGACCTTCTTGAACATGAAGAAAGTCACCCAGGCGAGGCCAATGAAGTGGAGGTCGGAGCCGATTTTGAAGAAAAAGTAGAAGCACCAGACGGGCCAGATTCTATCTTGCCATAGAAACCAGGGTAGTAGTTGCAGGCAGGCGGCAATGCCAGCTACGATCGAGCCTAAATTTTGAGGGATTCGTCAATGGCATTGATACCATCTTACCGGTGCATGAAAGCATTGAAGCAATTGTAGCTTTGTAGATTCGGCGATTTCGTTGGCTCTAAAAACGGATTTTAAACGTATCAGGAAGTAATCGGTCTTTTTTAGCCTCTAAAAACATGCAATTCAATACCAAATGCACCTGCATTAATGGCAAGCTCAACATTTCTTATAACTCGTGAGCAATTGAAACCCGCTTTGAATACTCTTGAAAAAACCTTTAATAAGCGCCAAACCTGCTCTTTGAGCAGCGCCGGCAACCGCGTCAAAATATACGCGTAAATGAGCACGTTGAGTGCTGCCAGCGCATTCGGGGCCATTGTCAGCACATTATAATATAACCTTAGCGGCGAAGCAGCAACCGAGAGTCTCAGTTGATACGCAAACGATTCGTCAATCGTATAAGAAGCTGCCGTATCGATTGGGTAGATTATCGGGATGCAGGAGAGGAGGTAGAAGACCCAGACCAGTTTGCTGAACGTCTCCAGCCAGGCGGCTTCCTGCAATTCATGTGTTTTGCCTTGCCGGGCCCTTTAAAACCGACCTTATCGACGACCGTAATGTTCTTAATTACCACAAGTCGGGTAACGGTGAGCACAAACAGCCACAAAGTGGATTGGAGCAAGAACCCAATTTCGCTGACCTAAAAATTAGTTTTATTTATTAAAAAATGATGCTAGCTCTTGAAATATCCGGAAATATAGTAACTTGAATCCAAAGATACCCACATAAGCTATTTTCCCAATCCAGTAAGCATTGGCGAAGAAAAATTCCGGAAAAAGCCCGAGGTTCGCCGGCTCGGTGATGCAAAATGTGACGATGGAATGGACTAGGAGGCAGATACCTTGAAAATGACATTTAAAGCCAAACATAACTTTAAAAAATTTAGGTTGTCTCACCACGTTGTGCAAGTAATTTCGGGCAAAATTTACTTACTCAAATTCCGAAGGCATATCAAGAAGGTTTTTCCGGTTTCCTTCGAGTCGATTTTTCGAGTAGCAGAAAGAATGGCCACATATAGCGGTATTGTTAATACCATCAGAATGTCCAAGAATATGCAGCAGATGAGGTATAGGTAATTCATGATGTCTAAAGAGTTATATTACACTATGACACGGAAACCACATTTTTCAGAGAGCTTTTGTCCAATTTTTAGAAAGCTGTGAGGCCTGACAGAGCTCGTTTTCAACGTTTTCCGGACTGCTTTTTCCAAACGAACTTCCTATAGGTTATTCCGGATCTAATTTGTTGTCCAGAACACTATCGCGCTAATCAGTTTTAGCTAACGAAAAGCAACCTTTGCCAAACGCGTAAAGCCCGGGCTAAAGGTTAATCAAATTAACCGGATTCGGTGCCGCCGGAACTGCTTCCCGCCGTTTCTTAAAGGCAACCCAAGTCTCCGTGGTCATTGAGTAATTCTGGGGTGCAGGCCACGAAACGTGCAATTTTGCGGCCCCTCATTGCAGTGTTTTTCGAAGATTTGCTCGCCAATTCTCTGGAGACACCTAATTAGCGGACTTTGTCGAGGTACGCGCGCAATTTGGCAAATAGAGTGAAAATGGAAGTGAATATCGGGTTCAACGTTTAATTGAGGGAGTGGCAAATTGTGAACAAAATATTTTTGATGTACTCAATGAGAAGATGTGATAGCCGAGAATACAGAGAAAGCAATGAAGTAGCAGCGACTAATACAGGGTAAACGCGTTCCCAAATGTTTTTTTTTGCTGGCTTGCTTGGCTTTATAGCCGTATTTACAACGTAATTCAATAAAAAATTCCAGCTCTACGCTTGTAACTTGCTGACCTGTGTTTTGACCTGAAAAATCAGGTATCGAGACGATTTCGGGGATCCCATTCAACATAGGTCGACTGGTAAGCCTTGGAAACGTCGTACTTAGGTCAACCCGAAAATAACATGTTTTCTTGGTTGTCGGCGTGTTCGCTTCGCGCGCCATTCATAAGTCAATTCTAGCACTCCGCAAACGGGCCCCCCTAAAATTAGCCTCCCACACTCTCTTCGGATCTCTGGTAAAGAACTCGGTTCTGTCGCAGCTTTCTCGTAACGCTTTTTTTCACTAGAAGGTATTGCTACTTCTGAGCGTAAAAAGAATAAAAGAATAAAATTTTTGTTATAGAATCTGAAAAAAATATCGATTTTCGATCAGATTGGATTATTTTTGATCAAAACGGTCGGATTTTGAACAGATTTTAGATGTCATTTTTACGATGCTTTGGAAATTCGTGATGTCAAAATTTTATAAATTGGCGATTCATAACGTTTATATACAATTTCGAATGTCCATTGAAAACTCAATACCTATACAATTTCATCAATTCTAATAGATAATAAAAATGAGTAATAATACGACCTTTTCTTAAATAATTGCCGTCACAAAATTGTCTCTATCTCATTTTAGTGCACCACCGACCCAACGAAAATTTATAAACACGATAACAGCGATTTGATCATTTTATCCGGAACAAGATCGGTACGAAGGTATACAACGGCCATTGCACCACTTCCACAATGCCGAGCCGCACGACTGGGACATGCCATTTCGCTTCTAATATTCGTTTCAGTTTCGAAATTCTTGCCGACCTGCCGCGTCAACAGCGTACCCACACACCACCAGTTCACGCCCTCACGGACGCAGCGTTGGTCTGGACCGTCGCATTCTGGGCACTGCAAGTCATAGTTGGGTGAAGAGAAAACCTTGCAACGCCTTGAAAAACGTAAAATGACCGACAGCCGGAATCACCAGATGCAAACCCCGACATCCGAAATATCGACAGCCAAAATGCAGGCACCAAAATTCTACCAGACAAATTTCGACAAGCAAGATGGCCGTAAAAAAGCAAGTGGCATCCAGATCATGTCCGTCGCGTCAAAACTACGCCGAGATTTTGACTGTCGGCATTTTGGCTATCGGGGTTTTAACTTTTTTCGGGATTTTGACTGTCCCGTTCGGGTCGTCGCGATTATGAATAAATTCCCAAGCCTTCGCCAAGCTTATTTTAAAAGCTTCTTCAAAGATCTCTCGAAAACGCTACCTTTCCAAATTGTCGCGGATAAATATCGACAACCAAAAAGGCGATAAGAAGCCAGAATATCATCATTTTTCAGGAATTTATCGTTGTTTCCCTTTTATACGGATCTACGGTGCAGAGGGCGAGGCGCAAAAGCATCAATATTGAAAAGCTATGAAGTTTTATGCATTAGTTGTGGGGGAACGGGAGCAAAGTTCGAGGCAGAAGAATGGAATATGCATGAACAGGAAGCCGTCAGTCGAGCTCGTTATGGGACCGATTTTCGGGCTTTGAACGTTTTTGCAGAAAAGAGTACCCGTTTTTTTTTCGAGGTATCTGGTTAATCAGCTTTCTAAACTTAATTTCTCGTCGAAAAATATTCCTTTATTAATTCAATAACGGGAAGACGACGACTGTGACTTATGTAAGCACAGATAAATACCGAAATGTTTTTGCGTCGAATGGTGTATTTTTGTAGGGTCCTGGCTCTTCCTACTACGCATTTAATGCACGCAAAACATCGCAAAAACAGGAACAAAGATGAAAGAAGCCGGAGCTACTTCTGCTGTGTAAAAAGCTTTATTCCACCGGACGGGTTCCTATCGACGGTCCTCCAGCGTGGGACAGCGCGACAAGCCGGGGATACAAACTCCACTCTCACGGCAGAACTGCCACTCTGGCCGCGTGCATGTGCTGGGAGTTTTGGGCGCGACGCGAGGCAGTTTCGTTTCTAAGCCTCCTAAGTGATAGATTGAAGGACTTACCGTATTTCCTCTAATGTAATATAACGCCTCAAAAATTTTTTCAAAGTTATCTTAAGAATTGAAAAAAAAACGTCAAAAAAAGGTCCAGGTTTAAGCTTCGTACTGTGTTCCTGAGTGGTTGTGCGCGGTTTGAATCGGCAGAAATTGTTGAAATTTCTCAAAAATTATGAAAAATATATCGCTATTTAATTAACACCCTCCGTTGAGGTGATAGAAAACATGTAATCTCGGGGTTAGATTAGAGGAATTACGGTAATACCTACTTTCCTCAGCGGTGGCGCATCTACGCAAGTGCTTCCGACGCCTCGCTTCACGACACACATCTGTTTATCACGATCGCAGCGGTCGCACTGTAAAATTGTAAAATACAACGTCTGTTTCGGCGTCGACATGTCGACATTTCATGTAGACCCTCCTTAAAAAATTTTTTTTGAACCGGATTTTACTCCTTTATTTCACTGTTTGATCGTCAGCTATCAGCCACGCGGACACGGAGAGTGGATCCGGATGCAGGTATCGTGACACCTAACATTTGGCAGCACGCACTGCACCGGCGGTTTGATCAGGGCGTTACGCTTCTAGATCCGTCAAGTTTTTACGCAAATTCATCACATGATACCTTCCTGCTCAGAAGAGGCTCACCACAGGACGTTTGACCATTTTCTAAGACGCACTGCCTCCCCGACCCGGTACATAGTGAGCACTGGAGGAAAAACGGTTATAACGAACCTCTATTAAACAACGAAGAAATGGATTCGGGTTAGCTTTGGAGCATCGCGTAGTTGTCAAAGCCTACCCCAACGCCAACGGAAACCAAAACTTTTTCGGCACAAGCCTAGATTTTTTTATAAATTGCGGATGCGTTTCTAAATTGTTTTTAACTATTCCTGAGTATAAAAACTACACACGTTTTAACCAAAAAAATTAAAAAATAAAAATTAGGTCGAAAAATCCTATAGAACCTTTAGGATTCGCGGGGGGATTACTCCCCCGGAATACCTCCCCCGGGAATCCTAAAGAACCGCAACTTTATTCCCGTTTGCGGCCAGCATGGTTCAGCCGCGCGGGCACGGCGAATGGATCCGGATGCAGGTATCGTGGCATCTGACATTGGGAAGAACACAACGTACCGGTGGCTTGATCAGCGCGTTACGCTTCTGAATTTACTTGCAAGCAAATCAGCCAAAATACCTTCCTGTCCTGTGGCCAGAGAGGCCCGCCACAGTACGGAGTACGGCCATCCGGCTCGATGCATTCGCTCCCTGACCGGGTACAGATAGCGCACTAAAACAAAACGTTTAGGTATACATTTTTATCGCCAATAGCTTTTTTTAATGTTTTTTTTACAAGAAATTTAATTTTTTTTGCTTTGTTAAAGCCGTGTCGCTAACTCAAAGCACTTACTATATCATCATCTTCTTGAGCTTCAACAGCCACTACGACGAGGCAAAGCAGCAAAATCAACAACATGACTGCTCAAGATCGCGTCCGAGGTCCTGGTTTTTATAGATTTAGAAATCATAAATTAAAAATTATGTAAATCGAAAGATCTGATGTGAGAAATTCGGGTTGATGTGGGAAATTTTTAGGCAAAGGATGCAAGGGAAACACATTTTTTGATTTTTTTTGAGGGGAAACAAAGATCACGAATTTTTCCGTATTTTGCATTTTTTGAGGATGTTTTTGGTGATATCTGTTGCGCTTTGATCAATCTTTGAAGCACAGAAATCTCTTGGACGAAGCGAAAAACCGAGCGATAATCTTTGAAGTATCTTTGAAACAGTTTGTACAATTTATTCAGGACATAAACGTTAAATTTTGTGCGTTACAGTAGTAGTCGGCAATTTTCCGATTGTACGTGACGGTACTCCGGCCATTCAACGCCTCCGAGCTTCTTCTTTAACCCCGCTCGGCGGCTTGACCAATTTTTCGAGGAGGTGATGCGGGCCAGGAAGTAGCTGAACCAATAAAAAATACAAAATTTAACGAACTAAGGAATAATCCTTTTTTTAAATACACTAAAATTCAGGTATCAAGTCTGAAAAACACAATTTTTGGGCACTACCGGGTCATCCTGACACAGATAGGAGCCGTCCCACATCTTCATACAAGACTCGCCCTCGCCGCATTTTTCGAAGCACTAAATAATTTTTTCATTAAAGTCAGATAATTTTTATACCCTCGGATCCTTGGTGATTTGGCCAAGTGCCAAGTTCAAGATCAGAAGAAGGAATACAAGAAGTTTTGCCAGCATCTCCGGGTAAGCTTTCGAGGCGTAGAAAGTGCTGTTTCGCCTGGCAACTCCGGTTTTATACAAACCAACCCTTGACAATTGGAATTCGACGTTTCCGAATGCGCCCCCGCCCCATTTTGGCCCATAAGCGGCGCGTCATCGCCGGCGCGCTGTTTTGGCTGAATTTCGATCTATTTGCGAGGCTTTTATTGCAAGGGCGAATGCGAGACGGGGTTGGAAAAGGAATTTCTGAATTTTAAGCGTCAATTTAAAGAATTTGGAGGCGGAAAATGTTGGAGCGTATGAATTCGGCCTGGCGAGGTTTGCCCGCTATACCATTCCGCTGAAGAACACTTGAACCGTTGCTTATCGCGTTTTCAGTGAAGCTGTAAAAATTATAGCAACCTAGGTGTATTTATTTTCAATAATATTTGGCACGTCGGTTGTAATAAAATTCAGGCTTGCTTTCTGCCTTTGAAGTTCAAAGGATTTTGCGATCCGGGAGCGTCGGCTTTCTTCAAAGCGCATCTGAATAGGGACCGCAACTGATTTCAAGCCCTGCCCCGCTCAGCCACCCGAAAACCAGCCGAAAGCTGTTGCGAACCGCGCAAAATGTTGGGCAAGATCATATTCCTACTATACCTCGTCGCGTTCCTTGTGTTTCCAAGTCTTTCCGCTGAATCTCAACCGGTAGGATGCTTAAAGTTCGCTAAACTTTTCTACGTGTTAGGCCCTTGATCGTCCTTCATCATCAGGATCATTTCGTAGTTTGTCGAAAAGACTCAAGTCCTTTTCAGCCCCGCATACGCCGTCAAACATTCTGCTTCCTCCGTGGGCTACAGGATTGCGGGGGTGTTTGCATTCGGGAAAACGAGGAATGCCACCCCGGTTGGCCGGCGCCTTGGCGCTAACCAGCGGCGAAACGGAATAAATTGATTAATTAGCCCATCGACATCATTTACATTTTTCGGAATTGCGCCAAACACTGTAAAAATTCAAAATTTTCTTTTGCAAAAACCAATGAAATTTCCAAAAAAGTACGATTTTGTAGCGCCGAAAGCCTGATGCCAAGAAAACCCGGGCGCTGCCAATCGAAAATCAATGATAAACCCTTTCGCTGCTTCAGAAATTTTTTGGCGTCTATAAAACCCTTCCTGATCATAATGGTTTTCATCAAAAAAATGTTCGGAAAGGTGGTTTGCCTACTGTACGTTCTTGGGTTCGTGGCGGTCCCGATCTCAGCCATCGGCTGGCCAGGTCTATCGGTCGGTTTCAAAAATTAGTTATAACGATAGTAGAGATTATCTTTTTGCCGTAAATTAGAATGCCGAAACGCAGGATTCAAAATTAATTTTGTTGCAACTTCGGCGTGTTGACTGTCGAATTAATGTAATTACTAGAACAGGAAATCTCGAGGAAGGTAAATTTCGACAAGGCTGTTTGCGACATCCTAATTTTCGACACTGTGATAGCAAATCCAAAAGTAGACGATTAAAGCGACCTCACAAACTCGACATTTTATACCTTTCAGCCGAGGTATTGCCCGGCGAAGGCGGATCCGTGCGGAATGAGGGGCTGCCCGCACGGATTGGTGTGCCATTGCGGTGCTGGGAAGTCGGAGAATGGCATATGTATGAAGCCGGTGGGGAAAAGCATCTAAGATTTTACTGAATTTCACAATGAAAAACATATCGGGTATTTTAGAAAGAATGCGCCGGTGAACAGTGCGGATATGCCGGTTGCGGAGGGAAGTGCGCGTGCATTGACGGGCGCTGGGAATGCATTGAGGAAGTACGGAAAATTTTCCAAGTGCCTTCAACGAAGAGGGAATGCATGGCTATGAATTTAATTTAGTAGAAATGGACTAAAGTATAGGAAGATGGAAGATCGTCACAAATTCGTCGTTTCAAGGGCGTTCGGAAAGTGTAACTAAAATTCCGATCCCTGCCTTCCGCGTCTAGCTAGCCCTGCAAAAACCCTGCGACCCGAAAATATCAGTACCGAAATATTCCGAGAATTTGATAAATTATATTCACAGCAATTTAAAATCCTACATTTTTAAAGGCGCACGGACAGTTTGTTGCTCTTCACAAAAATTCCAATTCAGCCCAAGATAATTAGGTTGCATGAAGCCAAAATTCAGCTTCCAATTTTTTTTATAAAACAACTAGACCCACCAGAAATTAACTCTTTTTTTCGGTCTCTCGTCTTCAAAAATCACAAGACGGAAAATCCGTGACAATCCTGAGGCGCGGTCCCAAGTCTGGCACAAATGCCCTCGCAGCAAAAATATCCGACTTGGCAAGCTTCAGCTGCGTTTTGGGCGTTACAGCGATCGTACGGGTAGATGATTTGCTAAACGTTCACGTAAAACGCGTAAAATCCTAGTGTAAGTAAATAATTAAAGGGGGAGGGTGAATGCTTCTAATTTTTCTTCGTGGCAGGCGGGCGGAATCATGCAAAGTTGGGCCATTATGGGGCCTTGAGGTAGGCCTGGGGTGAAAAGCCGCCTCTTCAACCCTGGTCGAAATGGAAAATGTACCCGATCGGGAATGCATTGGTAGCCGTTTGGCGGTAAACTTGAACAGGCATATCCGTAAGGGCAGGGCTGGATCACGCACTAAACTTTTTGATATGATACACTAGAATCTACTAGACTGTTTATTGATTAGTACGCAGCTCTCTCTCTCTTTCTCTTTATCTATCTTTCTCTCCCTCTCCTTCTCTCTCTGTCTCCCTCTTTCTCTCTCTCTTGATCTCGCTTTCTCTATCTAGCTCTCTCTCTCGCTCTCTCTCTCTCTCTCTCTCTCTCTCTTTTCATCGCTCAGTCGCTCTACCTCGTTCATTTCAGTAAAACCAACCAATCCGGCCGCTGGGACTTCGTCGTATTCCAAAACCTCAGCCACAACAAGGCAACAGAAGCTGAAGGAACAGAATTTGAAGCCCAAATGCATTACGGTGAAACGTAGACTTTATGAACAAAAAAATTGTTTTGCGCTGTTTTTGGCCCAGCTTAATTTATGGAAATACTTCCCCACCCGGCTTCACAAGTGGGTTTTCACTATTATGAAAACCGGGCGCAGCATTTCGGTGTACGTTCGATGGTTTTAAGGGAACTTGCAGAAGCGTTCAGAGAAATAACAAAGAGATTGTTCACCACAAGAGGAATTCGAGACAAAATCAATTTGTTTTGCAGATTTTAGCTGCTGTATTCGCATTTCAGCTCAATCAAACCGGGCTTCAGTGCATTTTACCCCAGTCCTCCCCCCAGCCGAGCCCATCCTACCGTATCTTGACTCCCTGTTCATCTACAGGTGTGTAAAGTATACAAAATACTCGCGAAAGCAAGATAAACTTTTTGGTATACTTTACACACCCATAGATGAACAGGGAGCTGAGATACAAAAGTTGGGTGCCGGCTAGGGGGGGGGGTAACCTGCACTCTAACCTCACGCCGAATTTTAGCTTCCAAAAACCTCCAGCCATTTACAAAAAATTGACCTCGAGCAACAGGTCGCCGTTGCAAAAGAAATCGATAATAAGCTATCCACTGCTTACAAACTTTCCGGCCGTACAAAAACGATGCAGCTTTTGTCAGCTTTTTCATTCGCAATGTTGACGAAGCTGGCTTTGCTGCTCTGCCTTCTTGGACTGGTGGCAATGCCGAACCCGGTATCGAGTTTACCAAATTTTAACGTGTGAGACGATTGGAAGATCCCATGATTTATCGCATCAAAAATTATTAAAAATGGCAGGCCGAAGCAATCCGGCTGCCTCAGACACTTCCCCGGAAATGCACGGGTGAGCCTTGTGGAATAGCGGGTTGTTTTGACGGTGGTGCTTGCGTGTGCACTGAATTCGGCAGATGGACCTGTCGCAAGGTAGGTTTTTCCACTTGCACCTGGTTACAGTAGCCCCTGCCGATCGTAGCTTTTCCGAAAACTAGCGACTTTTCGGAATGCGCTAACATTTAACATTGTATTGAAAACTATGTCAAAGCAAGGTAAAGGAGATCAAAAAAATACGGGCCACCTTTCTAAAGTTTTTTCAACGTAAACGTATTTTTAGCCGCGTATGGGACAAAAGCCAGCAGGCGACGAGTGATTGCACCGCCTCGCAGAAGCGGGCAAAACGAATAAATATTATTATTTACTAACTAAATGCATTTTTAATGTCAAACCCGACATTTTTAGTATTGGCTATTTCTATTAATCTTCGTGAATCGGTGTTGAAAAACTCACAGCAAGACGCGAGAGGCGCACGAATGTCTCATAGCAAATTAATCCATTTGTTCCGTTTGTGCGTTTTATCTGGCGTAGGCATCGTTCTCTCTCTCACTCTCTCTCTCTCTCTCTCTCTCTCTCTCTCTCTCTCGCTCTCTCTGGCTTATCCTAATAGCAGGGTGGTAGTATTAGAGCAGACTTGCAAGCTGTTGTTCGCCCTTTTATAACCCAGGCGAATCGTTTCCTTCTGTGCGCTATGTTCTTAAAGGGGCTCCGAACTGCCAAATCAAAGCCCTTTTGTGAGGCCTCTTTGATTTTTGGCTATTGCCAGCGGGCGCTGCGGGACGAGAGCCCTCACTCTTTCGATTTTTGCGCAAAGTTGTTTTTGCCCGGTTTCTTTGTGAAAACACCATAATTTGCGCATTCTGAGGCCATTTTTGAAATCCTCACTCAATTTTAAATAGTTTTGGTGTTTTAAGCATCAAATTTGGCCCAGAAACAGCCGAGAACGTGATTTCGAGGTGACAACAGGCAATTTCAAATTTGCGAGCTTCCCACGCCCCTAGGTGTACAGAGGCCTCCGACGTACAGGTCTTCGATTTTCGGGCCGTCACTCAATTTTTGGCATTTCGTAGCCCCTTTAAAGAGTCTGAGTAGTAAATTTCGAGCACAGTATTTGACTCTCCGGTCCATTTAAAAAGTTTTATATCGGAACGAAAGAGGCTTTTCGTTGGTCTTTTTGGTAGCTGTACGTATCCAGTAGAATTCTCAATGGACGATGTCAAAATCCCCACCGCCCCCGCTTCTCAAATTTGAAATTTCAATGAACTGTCTGTCGCCTGGGACACAAATCTCTGAAGAATCCGAAGAATCTTCGTCATGAAAATTCAGCAGAAATCGGTGCCCCTTGCCTTTAAAAGCGGTGCTAGTTGTCGGGTATTCACTTCAAAATGCTGGCCAAGCTCGGCTTTCTGCTGTACGTTTTCGCATTCTTGTCGATGCCGGAATTGGCGCAAGCGGTGAGTTCGTAGAAATTATTGCTCTAGGAGCCGGGAGTGCGCTTGTCGATCTGAAAAAGGCGCAGCTTTTTAGGGATGCGATGGTCCGATCATCCGCAACGATCCAGAGTGCAACCCGGGCATGCCACCGCCATTCTAAATTTTCGACTCTAACCAGCAGGATTTGATAAACTTATGGCAAAGTTGTAATTTGTAGGCTAATACAGAGTTTTCTCCCTCTCTCTCCCTCTCTCTCTGTCTCTCTCTCTCTCTCTCTCTCTCTCTCTCTCTCTCTTTGTCCCCGTCATTGCCTCTCTTTACGATCTCCATCATCCATTTCTCTCGCAGTGAAAGCACTTCGCGCTCTGGCTTTCTTCGCACTTCTCTCTCTTACTCTCTCTCTCTATCTCTCTCTCTCTCCCTTTCCATCTAGCTCTCTTGCTCCCTTCCTTCTCCGTCTCGTGTATTGTACCGTACTGTACTGTCCACCCACACCCAAAACATTTATCCCATACGACACGACCGCGGGTACGGGAAAAAGCCCGAAAAACCCATGACAGGGATAGAGGGGGACCTACAAAACATAGAAAGGGGCCAAGCACACAGTGCATACGAGATAGCGGGGGAATGAGGGATAGGGGGCAGGGTGCTAGAATCGGGAGGCGTCCCGGGCGTTCCTAGGTAGCTCGGTGCGGATGTAGTTGAGTCTTCAGTAGAAGTCCCGACGCACCATGTCGACGTGGGCCAACCATCTACGCGAGCTGCCCGACGACCGAGCTCACAATCTCGTCGGCGGCGAAGAAGGCGTCTAAGAATCAACATCTCGTCGTCCAATGCCTCCCCACCATCCATCGACTGCACCCGGCCCTCGCGCACGATGCTCGACAACTTGTGCCCCATCTTGGCTCGAAAGAGCTGGTTGGCTGAAAAGGCTTAGGCCTAGGCATAGGTTTACGCTGATGCTGACACATACGATCAACACCCACCTGCAAGCTGCTGCAGCAACAATTCTTGTTTGCCGTCCTCGCCGCCCAACAGCTCGAACGCCTCCTTCAGTTTGTTCCACAGGGCGAGTTTGCGCTGGTAAAACTCCTGGATCAGCTCCTCGTACGACAAATCGTCGAGCGCCTCCTCGGCCTTCACTGCGAAGAATTTTTCTCGAGCTGCAAAGACAGCTACTTTTTAGGCCCTTTTTTGATTTTTGGACAGGTTCTTTCGTAGTTATTTTAGTAGTTTTAGTACATTTTAGTCGCCTAAAATGCCAATTCCAGTGTCAATAAAAACCTATTTTGACTGACTTACACTCATTTTCAGCAAACGTTCAAAATTATTGTCCACCAGCGCCCAAAACCCGCTTCGCGGGCCTTGGGCGCTGGAATTGGGCCTTTGCATGAAAAATTTGACTTTCCGATAGCTCGGGTCCTTCGGACCCCTTACCCCCACCGACCACACACGCGCGGGCAAATTGCAAGAATGAGGAAATTTGTATTTTTCATATTATGCAAAGTACCCCCAAAAATGAATAAAACCGGCTTTAACTTTGTAAACTTGTATTTTATCGAAATTCTGAAAACGCCATCGGAAAGAGGAGGGTCGATTCCCCCAAGTGACAAAAAATCAGCGCATTTGGGACACGGGAAGGCCCTCAAATCGGGCCTCGAAAGTGACATCCACACACACACACACAGAGATACACTCCAAAATTATATAAGGTAGGATTTTATGTGTTTTTTTCCTGTATAGAAATCGTGTCAAATCCTATAGAAAGTTTATTTTTCTTTATGTGGTTCACTGTGCAAAATTGCCGCGTCCTTCCCCCCGCTAACAGTCCTGTACCCGTTTTTGCCAAGAAACCAACCGTGCTCTCCGAGGTTCATCCACGGGCGGGCACCCTGGCTGAGCCCGAACAGCCTCTCGGCCAACGGCGCGGGGACGCGACGCGCTAAAAAAGAACAGTCAATGCGTCGAGTGTTGCACTGCGCACCTCCCAGCGAGGGGTGCAGCACGGCGTCGATCGCCTCCTTCAACTCTTGCATCGCCTTCTCAAAATGCGGGCGATTCTCGACGCATGGTGGAGTGGGCAGCAATGGCTGCCCGAGTTCTTTCTGCGAGGGACAACCCCTAAAATTAGTTTAATTCTTTAAGACCAGGGTTGAAAAGCCGCTTCGCGACTTTTCAACCCTGACCCCGTCTGATCCGATGATATTCTTCTTTTTGCATAATTCTCACGAATTCCCTTGTCAAAAAAATCAAAGCTCTCCCTCTCTCGCATTATATAGGCTACTTCCACTTCCGGTGTATGCTAATTGATTCCTAACAAAGAGGACCTCCGGTTTTTCATGAAAAACTGAATTTTAATGTCGAAAACAGCTTATTTTCTAAAATCTGATATGTGTGCAGGCATCGCAGGGCCATTACACACCTAATGACATATCAAGCGTACCCATTCCTTCTTCCCCTATCGAGATACGACTGGAACATAGGGACGGAAGTTGCATGCAAATGCACACACACACACAGACACTATTTTTTTATATCTTTAAGATAAGATACGCGGGGCAACCAACTTCTTTTTTTCGGTGCAAGCCTAGATTTTTCGTGCGTTTCTACCTTACTACTAACACTATGCCTAGGCACAAGGATTTGCAAATTGCGCATTTGATTTTAGGTCGAAAAATTGTTACTTTCGACCGAAAATGGCCAAATTTTCGGCTTTTTTGAAGTGTCCCAAAATCGACCCTCTCTAGCGGCGACACGGAGAACGCTAGGAACGCAATGATTTTTACACAATTCGAAAGACCTAAGTCAAAGCCCTCGAAAAGGCAAGAAACAACTGCTTTTCGTTTTATAGAAGTTTTTAGCCCGCGCTCGATAGCAAACGATTTCTTAAGAATGCGTAAAACCAGCGTCCCCGGTCGGCTTGAGCAAGCAACTAAACGGACATTCTGCTATCGTTGATAATTTTATGATTTTTGAAATAGTCAACACTTTAGCATGTAAGGTTACGTAGGTGCTAAACTTCCGGCAAAACTGCGTGGGACCAGCGCCATAGACCCATCGGCCATGGGATGTACCTTTAACATGCGGATTTTGCATCAACTATGCAGTTTTCATAGATTTTGGTCGTAAAATTGGCGAATTAAAATGGTTATAATAAAAACCGGAAAGTGCTCGACTTCTCGCTTTTATTAAGGGCTTCCGATGGATGGCCTAAACACCCAGGAAAAAAACTTGGTCCCAGCAGTCCCGTGCGGCCGTTATGAGAAAACATGAACCATTTTTATAGCCTTCCCCATGAGATTTTAGAGCAAAAGCTAAATTATAAAATTACTAATTATAATTAGTTATTAAACTAAAAATTATAAAATAAGGTCAGGATACCAAAAAGGTGCAATTTTGACAAAAAGCAACTGACGTCGGAACTCGGCAATCGCAAGTGTAGAAACGGAGGAACGCTGCCAGGTTTGGAGAGCCGCCCGAGAGGGCCATCTTCGACGAACGGACCGGGCCATCAGAATTCTCACTGAAGGGCGGCACGACGTCGACGTTCTCGATGCATGGCGGGATGGCGCCGCCCGTCTTTGGCACGTTTTTCTGCGAGGGGCAGCCGTCCTTGTTCTCGCACTCGCACGACACCTGCGTGCCCTTGTTGGTGTTCGTGGCGACGGCGGGGGTGCTAAACGAAGAATGTCTTCGAAACCGAGAAGGTGCTTACAGAAGACGCGCGGTGGCCACCTCCATCAGACGCTGAACAAGGGGGAGACGGCGCTGCCTGGAAGGTAACGTAATTTTGGCACGATATCTTACTCCTACTTGTCCCTGATCATGAGCACGCGACGCAGCGACGGGGGGAGCTGGGTCTGGATGTTGCGCTCGCGGAACCAGTCCATCACCAGGTCGTACAGGCCGTCGCGGTCGAGGATGCCCCAGTCGCTGCAGAAAAAAAATTGACGCCGAACTCTTAGCGGGGGGAGGGCGGCGGAATTTTTTCTGAGCGGGAATACGTAACTGTAACGCAATATCAATAATTTTGATAGCGTTTCAGGAATTTTTGTATCTAAAAAACACCTAAAAACAAAAGCGTTTCGAAAATTTCACCTTTTCTTGAAAAAGGTATGAAAAATGTCCAAAAACGCACAATTTTTAACTTTTTCGACTTTTGAAATAGTTTTTATTGTTTCCTAGACGGAAAATTGGGTTCAAGATTTTTACAAATTAGAAAAATTTAGGGAGGAATAAGGCAAACCGTACCGGTTGATGAGCCGCGCGAGGAGCCGCTTGTCGTGGTCAGAGGAGACGCGGGCCAACTGCTCGCCCCACTGCTTCATCTGCTCGTCGGCGACCTGGACAGCGGGTTGACCGCGTTCGACGAGCGCCGGGCTCTCCTTCAGATTCCGACCCTCAGCCGGGTCGCCCTCACCGCTAAGCGTGGTCGTCTCCTGCTCGGGGGCCGCGTCTTGCATACCATGGCACACGCTAAAAAGCAGCTGAAAAGCAACATCGCAAAAATACCCGGTGAGGAGCAGAAGCGAAAGCAGCGCAAGGAGTTGTAGCTTCAGAATCATCGCAACGGGTCGATGGGCAGAATGAGGAATTTTGTGGATGGTATGCTTTTATATGCAACTTTCTATGCAAATCAGGTGAATTTCCGGAACCAATTTTGAGCATGCAAAGTTCTCAAAGTCGCCTTCAGACTTTTGGTCAGGATATCGAAAACGAAGAAAGTCTTTTTACCAAACAAGAGCAACAAAGAGCGCGAGGAAAAGACCTTGTCATGCAATGGTATGTCCCCCAGACTTCAAGGACTATTTTGAGCTGAGTTTCTTCCAGGTGAGATCATCATCCGCCGGTTGAATGGAAGAACCTCGGATTAAACCCATGTTTCATTTTTCCACAATTTTTTACTGAATTCAGTGCGGAAATTAATTTGAGCTTGAAATACATTTTATTAAGTCTTCTCACAAAAAGAAGCTCCACGAATGATTTTCACTCTGGGTATCGATGCGAAGATTTCTTTTTGCTGTTGCTGATCACCAAAAATAAAGGGATGAGATCGTCGATCACACGCTTCACATTAGTGTTTACTGGCACTTACATTTGTCCCAAGCTGCACGCGAAATTAGGCGTTATGAATCTTTTTCGGACTGGCAAAAACAAGTTCATCAAGGCCACCCGACGCCTTGTGCTCTCTGCCATTACCAGACACCTCATCTTTCGCAAATTGCGGTGTGCACTTTCTGGGCATTGCTCCCATTTTAACAATAATTTGAGGGTACGGGTACGGTGACGGTATACGTGATTATTAAGACGTTCGAGCAATTAGAAAACGGTTAATCGGGATACTGATTCGCTGGGCTGACGGCCCGAGAAAGCGTCTTTTGATGATTTGATGCCCAGCCAACGGCGAAGACTCTTCCGCGTCTAGTAAAATCAACAATATTAAATTGGTTGCAGTTAAAACCTCTGGGAAAAACACAAATATCACCACGGTCGCGTTAAGGCCATAGAACACGCCGCCGAATTGCCTGAAAACGGTTTTTCTAGTGACAATGAAAACGTACATAATAACCCAGAGAAGCTTTAAGTCGACTTCGGGCAGTGCAGGGAATACAAATGCTTGCAGCTCGGTGTAGATGAAGAAAATGGCTCCGCTGAGCTTGGCTTAAAATTGAATAGATTCCGAGGAATTCCAGAATTTACGAATATGGATGAGAAGTTGGGCAATCAGCGTCTTTCTGGCCAGCCCGGCAACCGCGCGGAATTTTAATAGGGAGATCGTTAGCCAAATGTAGCAAACGACTGTAATGGAGGGTTTGAGTTAAATTTTCCTAGATCAAGTTCTTGCACAACGGACCTGTTAGTAATAATACAACGGGACCCACGTAGGCCGTATACAACTGCGATATAGGATCCGGGGTAATGGTGCCAAAACTGATGGAATTCGTGCCCTAGAAAAAATTTTGTAATTTTTTATTCAGGCTTATGCCGAGGCTTACTATGGAACTCGGACTCAGAATTGGCTGAAAATTTACACACAGATAGAATCGACGACGCTGATCATCATTTCGTTATCCAAATTTGCGACTGATTATTAAATCTCGGGATATTAAAGTTTTAGTGTCGTTTTTCGCCCCCTTTCCCCCGAGCAGCGTTTTGCCATGATGCTTTTCTTTTTTATTTTGAAGTTCTAATTTATTCAGTAGCATATCGACATATATTGACCTGTTGAACCCCCCCTTGGGGAGGGGGGGTTCAACAGGTCCCGCGGCGAGAGAGGGCGCCCAGGGGAGAGGCGCAGAGACATTTTCTTTCCCGCGCGTAATCGATTGACTTATGCCGCCT